AAACACAACTCAATACTCATGTAGAAGGAGCATTAAGACAAATATAGCAACAGACTTACAGACATAACTACTGCATTGTATGAATTTATTATAGTCTTATAGAAAACATGCTGCAATAAAATCTTGTGCAAGACACTTTACCAACTTACTGTTCTTATGAAATTATGGATGCCTTGCAAGTGACTCAACTTAGAGGCACAAAGAGAGAAACTAAAATGAAGCCCTTATTATGTGAAGATAAAAATTATAAAATGAAAAATGAAATAGTGTTTGATTTGGTGCTATATGTGTGTATGGATTTGGTTCTATTGCTAGCCAGTAATGGATAGTGATTGGTCTGAAGTTGACTAAGGAAAGAATAAGTAACAGAATTTTGGTAATATTATCAACCACTACTAGGAATCTTTCAACTCAAGGAATAAGATCTTGAATTTATTTAGCTTTTTCTTATAATATATCTCATTTTATTTTTTCTCCTTGTGTTGTATATGGACAAAACCTTGTGACAAATTCAAATATTTTGATCCTTAGCATGTTGAAATTTGGTGCCAATCTACTCATAGGGTCGGTTCATAACTATCCCAAAAGTTTAGGGTAACTAAAAAATTGATAATTTTTTTTTGTTTTTTCTTTAATGTAAAGGTTTTCTTCAAAGATTGTGGTATTTTTATTATTAATAAAATAAAATAAATCTCTGGTACAATGTTTCTATATTATCCATTTTTATAATGTTGCCATCAATTTCATTGGTTGTCAATTAGTTTGACACAAATAGCAGGTCACTAAAATAATTATGGAGACTAGTTTGATTTTAGAATTTAATACTAGTATGAGAATTAGGACAGGCGTCCCAAAATAATGACAGGACAATTAAGGAAAACTCTGTTAATTGTAATTGGATAATACTACTAAATTTCCTTAATTTCTGCCCATTATTGATGCACCAACTTTTAGTTGGCTTTTTGAATGGATGTTCCAGGTTTTGCCTCAACACATTAAAGACTTTAAGAAAATGACCATTTTTGGTGCAAACATCATTTAATGGGGAAATACTCCTTATTTATTGTGTTTGTATTTAATTCTTATAATATCAAACATGATTAATAAATTGGAAAAAAAAGTAGAAAATAAATTTATATATATATATATGAGCTATCCCATTAATCCTACAAAACCTTTTCCCGCTTATTATATAATATGTATTATTAAACTAATTAATTATATTTTATGCTAAATGGTATATGAAAGTTACATATGTATAAAAAAAATATATTGTAAAACTTTTTTCAAGTTATTTATTCTAAAATCAGTATTATTTTTTTTTATCTCATTACTCGATTGTATTCCCAATTGGCTTTAATAACATAGTCAAACTCCTGAAAATTGCAGAAGCAATTGTTGTAATAGTACATTTAACTATTTTTTTACTTAATTATTTGGTCATAATCTATTTAAATTACAAAAATCACATTATTCATTACATTTCATGTAATCAATCTAGTGATTCATATATAGTTAAATATTTATGTTTATTTTTACAAATGATCAAATTTTAAAATGTAATACCATTGTCTAACTTATAATTTTAATGTTATATATAATTGCCTACAAATACATATAGAGAGAGAGAGAGATTAACTCTATAGCTTATTCCAACTTCTAATTCTAGAACATGATGACCCTAAATGCAATAAATATGCTACCAACTTTAATTAATGGATGAAATGATGAATTAAAACAAGTAGAAGGAGCAATCAAAACATGATTCATAAATATGAATCTAATTTATAGTTATTCTATAAATGATCAATTAAAACAAGTAAAACAATATGTTACTACTATTTTTTACTTCTTTTTTCTTTTGGACTCTTTATTAGATTGTTTGTACTTTTTACCCCAATTGAGGGTTTTGATCTATTTGCATATTGGAGAATTCTCAATCATCCGTCCTTTCTGGACGTTTTCGTTTAAAAAATAAAAAAAATAAAATAAAAAAGGAGCATTTTGTATAAGAGTGTTGCTATTTATCGCACTCAATTTTACTATTCACCGCACCAAAAAAATACTCTTTTGTCCTTATTAAAAAATAATAATAAAAAATTTAATTTTTAATTTTTTTAACATTAAAAAAATTATAATTCTTAAAAAATGATAAATGTGGCCATCAAAAAAATCATTCTAACACAAAAAC